ACCATTAATTTTCATCACATTTTCAAAGTACATCGTAATCTATCCCTCCACTTGTTGAATTTCGTTGACAAGGACTACCCTTCAGTGTGGATAAGTGAAAGCCATCTGCGTAAATGATCTACGATAATAAATAAGTGGTGCTGAAACTAACAGATAGTTTCTCTAGTTTTATGTAATTAACCCAGAGGGTGTTCAGGGTCTTTGTGGGGGTAGCTGTTAAAAAACCAATGAAATCACAGTTCAGCAAAGCGTTTTTGATGGCAGCTATGTTGATGAAGATGTATTTCAACCAAGATAGAACACCTCCCAGTCGGTAGGTGAGAAGTAAAATGTCCCAGCCAAGATTGTGGTTAGATCTTGTACTTTTTCTGGTCTCTCGTAGTAGCCATCAACGGCAAACTTGGTGTATGATTCATTGTTGCTGTTAGAATTATTCGAAATGTGAATGTCCCAGCCATTTCCAAATGTTGGACCATATGTTGATCTCTTGAAAATAGCATATTCTGACTTTAACACCATGCTCTTAAATGGATGGAGTTCTTCTTTGTTCCGTAGAGAAAATATGAACGCATCGGGAGTGGTGCCATAAGCCTCAAAAGGTTCTGAAGAACATAAGCGTGAATACAATGAAAATCAGTTGCCTGTTAGGGTACAGAAGCGGTTAAAGTGCCGCTGGAACTCCTCAAAACGAAAATATCAGAGTACATTGTAAAGTGTTCCTATATAGAGTATAAGATATGTCTCTACATTTTCAAAGAAATCAATTTTAGAACTTCTGTTCCTGTTCTTTTATATTCCTTCCAGAGCAATGCAATACGTGTGTAAAATCTTATTTCATATTACAGATGGTAGTCTGACTTTCTAAAAAGTATAGGAACAAACAAATGAAAATCAAAACGCAACGACAGCAACACAAAAAGAATAAGAAGAGAAAGTATGATGGATTCAAAGTGAAATAAAAGTTATCATTACCCCAAGGAATATCAGTGTATCCTCCAAACACGTACTGGTCATTTTTGATGAGGGTCACGGTGTGACTTTTATGGCCGCAACTGGAGTGGAAGGTACTTACATCCCAGCCGTGTGCTAAGGCGCGGTGGCACAGCAGCCATCTTGAAAGGTTTCCCACAGCAGGTGCCAGGAAATTCGAAAGGTTGCCCATAAAGCTTCCGATGTTTGACAAAATTGTAGAATTGATGAAAATGCCTGTGAAAAATAGAGACGAGGTCACTTTTTTGAAGATTATGAACGGTTATTTAAACACAA